GCTGAAAAACATTGGGAAGAAAAGTGCTTCCAAAACACTGCCAAAAACATCAGCATGAATGTGTCTGCATAATCCCCAGGAAGCAAGTATGATTTTTATTTTTTAAAAAAACCATTTCTTCATCCTTTTTAAATCTTTCAGATGCCAAGATAACCTTAACCGCCTTGTGAACTCCGAGTCACACCAGGGCAGTGTGCTCTGGCTAAGACCCAGCACAACAATGTTATGTTTGCTTTTTCAGTTATCCCACTGGGTTGAAATTATCTGTAACTCAAACCCAACGTCTTAACTACCCACAGAATAAAGAGGCAACAAGAACAGTGCCAGCTATGCAAATGAAAGGGGCTTGTGTGTGTGTGTGTGTGTGTGTGTGTGTGTGTGTTGACTATACTTTGTGCGTTTGGAGCACAAGCAGCCTGTGCAAAGGTAGGAAAGCCCAACCCTAGCACTACATCCCTGAGAAACAGGCAGAGAATCGAACGTGGTTCTCTGTGGTTGTTGCTGAACGGCGAAGCAAACCACAATTGAAAGATTTCGGACGCAGTCCAGATCTCCCTGGAGAAGACGACAAGGCTGCCAAAAATGAGACACACAAACCAGGGGTCGAACGGAGCAGGAGAACCAGAGTCAAACCACAAGGCCAAGGCTCGGCTTGGGCAACTGTTTGGAGAATCAATTTGGAAAAAACAGATCTGCCTCTTCACCCGTGAATTAAAGAGAAACCAAAGTCAAAAGTTCAACTCCTTCCAAAGCCCAGGACGGGTTGAACCATCTTTCCAGGGCTGCAGAGGCCAGCAAAAGCTGAGAAAGAGGCGGAAAGAAAGTCTGTTGAACACCAGAAAATCTTGTTTTTCAAGCCCCTTAAGGATCTGGGTGGAAATGTATTTGTCAATCAGGGAAAAACTCAACCAACATCAACAAACGTCAGGATCTGCCTGTTTGCAAAAGGACAAGAGCAGAAAAAAAAATAAAAGATTCTTCTTCCAATTGCACCAGAAGGGCTCCCCACATCCAGCTTTAAAACAATCATGGTTTGCTTGCCAAGCGCTGTATCACATCATGCTACACCCACAAACTTGGTTTACAAACCACGATGCCCTAAACCAAGCAGGCCAATCCAGGTCAAGCAAAACGATTCACCGAAGCAGGATGCTTCAGCCAAGCCATTAACCTTCTCTCTCTCTAAGCCAGTTTGAGAGGCCAGACACCTTCCCATTACCAAAATATTTTAATTAACCAGCCCAAAATTCAATTTTCCAACTCTTAAGATCCCGAAGCTCCATTCTCTGCCATCCTTCCCACCACCAACCCTGATTTCAGCCGATTGGAGTTAATTTAGTTAAAAGCTAAAAAAAAAAAAAAAAAAAAAGCGGAATTAACTTCCTAGGAAGAGGTGAGAGAGATAAATAAATGTATAAATTAAATTAAATAAATAAGGGAAATGTGTCTGGAGCCAAATTAATCACCCAGCTGATGAAATGATTACTAAGTAGCTCAAATATTTTATTTACAGGCTTGCAAGGAAAGCAAATTAAACCCTAATCAGAAGCAATTCAATACGCAGATCACACTAACACTTATTGTGGTCGCTTTCATGTGTCATGCGAATCCCACGTTTGTGGTTTGCAAACTGGGGTTTAGCCTCTGCAAAACTTCCTTTTTCTTATTTATTCAGATTTATTTTCTTAGATTTTTCCCCCCCTAATAACCAGAGACCAGATTTTCTTATTTCCCTTCTCATTTTTCTTCAGGCCAACCATGGGAAGCATCTGAAAGCTACCTTAAAAGACCAGCTATGTTCACACAACCTATCAAGCCATTATTGTTGTTAACTACAGTTTGTTAAATGACTTTGGGTTGAACCACGGTTTAAACATCACAACAACGTGCGGTGCCCAGCTTACATATTGTGATATGCCACAAACAAGCGTCACAGCCTCCTTCTCTTTCACACCTCCTCTGGGTAACACAAAAAAGCGAACAGCGTGATAGTTGTTATGTACAAACAGGTAGCCCTCGACTTACGGCCAAAAATTGGGAACCAAATTTCCATTGCTGAGCAAGGCAATTGTTAAGTGGACTGCGCCAACTTTATGATGCTTTTTGACGTGGTTTCAATCACGTGACCCTGGGGATGCTGCAACGGTCGTAAGTGTGAAAAACAGCCCTAAGTCATTTTTTTCAGTGCCGTTGCAACTTCAAATCGTCGTAAGTGGAGGACTACTTGAATTTTCAGTCTTAAAGGCTCAGCCGCCCCCCTCCCCCATGCAAATTCACCTGGCCAGGTTAAGCGTGCCGTGCGAACCCACCTACCCTGTTGGAAACAAACCAGAACTCTTACCATGCTCCAGAAAGACGTTGCAATGGGTCCCCCCTTGCTTCGAGGCTTCCTTCTTCACCCCACCCTTGATAAAGTGCAGGGCGGGAAGACTCGGCCTCCGTTGGTCGCCCAGGACTTTTCCAGGTTGCTGACCCATAGATTTCCTCCCACACACGCGACACACCACGGCCTTTCCGAAGGGACAGGAAACTCCACGTTGCGTTCCAAGCACCACCCTTTAAATGAAAACACACGCTTTTCTGTCTTTCCCTCCTTCAGCCCTGCGTCAAGTTGCGAAGTTCCACTGGGTCACCGGGGCCGGATTTGATGGAGCCCTCCTTGGCTCCTTTTATGCAACTTCCCCCTGTCGTAAGGTGAGGTCATCCGAGTGCAAAAAGTCAGACCAAGAAATGCCCCATTTTTCTGGCATAGCGCAGGTGGAACCCCCAAATCTCTTTGGCTTCAAGTATTATTCCAGCTGAATCAACAGAGTCCAAGAACTGTACTTTTTTTGTCCTTCAAAAGACCCCCATAAAAGTTCCCAAACTGCCATCCGTAGCAGGAGTGGAAGGAAAAGGGAATGTTGCAGTATTATTCAGGCCGATGCAAATCTTTATGAATCCCGTAGTCATTCCGTTGTTGTTGTTGTTGCTTCTGCTCCTCCGATTCTGCTCTTTGGACGTTCCTAAGAAGGCAAAATGACAACTGGCGTGGATGGGGGGCATTTTAAGGACCAAACCGCGAAGAAGCAGCGATGTTTGCGGATAAATTCAATAAACACAGCCACAGTCAGATGCTCTGAAAAAGCAAAACATTCGTAAGCCCTTGAAGGAAGAATGAAGTTGGTCCGAAGAGACGGAAGGTGAAAGAGATGGAAGAAACACTTGCATGGGGGGCGGGGGGGGTCATCTCAGGTCAGTGCTGGTCAGGTTGTCCTCAAAGGCAGGTGTTTTGGGGGGGGGGGTCTCTCAAGCAAGATGGGGGCCCAGCATCCCTTCAGAAGCAGCCGGAGGGACCCAGGCAGACTTGGAGCCTCAGAGAATGAGGTTACAGCAAAACAGGGTAGAAAAAAAAGTGGGAAGGGAAGGAAAGGTGGAGAAAACTAAAGGAAAGGAAAAACGTGTCAGAGGGGTGGAATCAGAAAATTGGGGGAGCAGGGGAAGGAATTATGGAGGGAAAATAGGAAGGAGGGAGGGAGGGAGGGAAGGAAGGAAGGAAGGTCTGAGGGAGTAGGAAAAGGAAAAGCGAAAGGAAAAGAAAGGCTAACGAAATGGTGGCCAGGAAGGAAGGAAGGAAGGAGGAAGGGAAGACGAAGGAAAGAAGGGGGAAAGAGGAAGGAAGGAGATGAAGAGGGAAAGAGAAGGAAGGAGAGAAAGAGAAAAAAGAATGAAAGAAAGGAGGGAGGGAGGGAGAAGAAGGGAAGGAACAAGGGAGCTCCGGAGGGCGCCGAGGGTCCCGGGGGGCAGCTGGGGCTGCGGCGGGGGGAGGCCGGGGGGGCTCAGCGGGGTCCGGCCGGCTCTCCGGCCTAGGCAGCGGCGGCCATGGCTGAGGAGGGCCGGCGGGAGGGCGAGGGCGGCGCCCGGCAGCAGCAGCGGCGGCGGGAGGAGGAGCAGCCCGGCCAGCCGGGGCCCGCGAGCCCATCCTCCCCTGCCGCGCGAAAGGCAGCTCCCATGCTCCGCCGCTGCAAGGAGGGTATCCATCATCCCCCGCCGGGAGACCCCCCCCACCCCTCCTCTTTGCCTCGACTGCGCTGGACTACAAGCCCCATCGTCCACAGGGCTGGGCGAGGGCTCCCATCCTCCACTGCCCTCCTCGCCCAGGGGCGTGTCCAGCTTTGGCACTACCCTCCTCTCTTTTCCATCATCCCCAGCCGGCAGAGCCCCCCCCCCTTCTTTAGAATACAATAGAGCTGGGCTGGTAGGGTGTATCTAGTGAGCATTGGACTACAACCACCATCATCCCCAGGGCTGAGCAAAGAATCCTCCAAAGCCTTTTCTCAACCCGATTATCATTTGTCGTGTTGGGCTCTGGTGCCTATCATCCTCTGCCAGGGATGCCCGGGGCCCAGGCATCTCTTAAAGAAGCGATTTCTATTTTATTTAATTTTTAATTAAAAGCAAACTCCTAAATCTCTGTTAATAAACCATCAGTTTAAAAATAATAATAATAATAATAATAATAAAAAACATAAGAAACTAATGTATCTTCAGTTGTTTTTTCTTTTGAAGTCCTGGCTTAACTGTAGCAAGAGTGGATCCTAAAATTGTATAATAAACAAGTTTAAAAATGTAAGAAACCCCCTAAGAAACTAATGTATCCTTTGCCAGTTTTTGTTTTGAAGTCCTGATGCAACAGTTAAGGAAACCTACAAAACCCTTTAAAAATAGAAACAACAGAATTGTGGAGAATTGCACCTCGAAACAAACTCGAAAGACAAATTTTATTTTTTTCCTGGAATTTTCATCCACAAGGAAATAAAAACAGATTTTATTTTATTTTTCCTTAGGCAAGATCCATGCAAGTTGACTTCTGATGACAACCTTGGAAAAAATAAATCTCTGCAGTTTTCTTGGCAAGATTTCAGAAGGGGTTTGCCATTGCCTCCTTCCTAAAGGGCTGAGAGAGAGTGGCTGGCCCAAGCTCACCCAGTTGGGCTTTGCGTTCAAAGCAGGATTAGAACTCAGAATCTCTAGATTTCTAACTTGGCGCTCTGAAACAATAAAAAGGACAAAAACGGATTTTTAAAACCTATTTAACTTAACCATTCATTGCTTCAACAGGAGCCGATATAGAAGCAGCACCAAAAAAATGTGACTGACACTGGTCCTCGGGCTTATGACCGTCACGGCATCCCCATGGTCGTGTGTTCAAAATTTGGGCGCTTGCAACCTCACATGTATTTTACGTGATCGCGATCTTCCCAGCCAGCTTCTTCCGACAAGCCAAATCAATGGGGGGAGGCTGGATTTAAAAAAAAATGGCAAAAATGGGTCATAAAATCGGGCACCCACAAGCACCTTGCTTAGCGATGGAAATTGCGTGTCCAGTTGTGGCTTAAGTCGACAACTACTTGCATTCCAATTTTGCTCCTGAGAATAATTCGACAGAAAAAATTAGCAGATTCCTCTTTGGCGGTTGAGGGTTTGGTTGTTTTTTTTCCCCTTCAAAAGTTTATTGAATCTTTTTTTCACACATCGCTACAAACAGGAATCTCGGCATCTCCCAAACCTGGAGAAACTTTTGAGAGCTACTACAAAATCCGATGACTTCGTTGGACCAAATTCCACAACTCCTGGGACATGAGAAAATGTATTGAGAATTCTCCTTCCCTCGTACAAAGAACTGAGCCGAGGGGACACAATTCAGAACTTGGTTTCACTCCGAATTAAACGCAGCTCTTTTTTGCAGCAACCCAGAAGTTCAACCCAGGCAAAGTTGCAAACGCAGCAATTCCACTTTTTTGCCCCCAAAACAGAGGGCTATTCTCTCAAGTGCCCGAACCAAGGATGTAAAATAGAAATTTAAAAGATTGTTATTTCTTTATTCAACAAATTTATATAGCCTCCCAACTTACTCAGGCAGCTTGTAACATTTTTTTTAAAATTAAGACAGTTTAAAGAGGAGAGATGTAAATTACACAGGGATTGAAGATGGGTGGTTCCTTTTTTTAATATCAGGTTCTTTTTTCAGCTAATGAACAGTTTTGCAGCAAAGAAATCTCTTCCTTGTGCAATTATGGATTTTCAACCAATACTAAACTTCAAAATCAAAAATTTCTCAAGCTGGGGACAAATACTGGAGCTAAGTTCCAGAAAGTAGGAATAAAAAGAATTTACAGAGATGCTGTTTGAGGAAAAGAAAGATGAGAATTATATGAGTTCTTCCTTGCTCTTCCTTCCTTATATGAGCTTTTGATGTTATTCACAGAAAGATAGAAGATGGACCGACAAAAGGACCACAGCTCCTTGTGGTCTACAACAGGAGTCCCCAAGGCCCGGGCCATGGCCCTTCCCTCTCCTCCCCCCCACGCTTGGCCGCCAAGCCGGAAAAGAGGTTGGGGACCACTGGTCTTCTGCTGCTGCTTCCTCTCAGCTCTGGAATTTCTAAAAGGTTCTGTACCAAAAACAGAGAACAAAATCAGAAGGGATGGATGGATGGATGGAAGGAAGATAAAGAGATGGAAGGAATGGGAGATAAGAAAAGGAGGGAGAGAGGGAAGTGAGATAGAAGAGAGGGAAGAAAGGTGAGGGAGGCAAGGAAGAAAATATAGAGATGGAAGGGAGAGGTGGGAGAAGAAGGAAGGAAGGAAGGAAGGAAGGAAGGAAGGAAGGAAGGAAGGAAGGAAGGAAGGAAGGAAGGAAGGAAGGAAGGAAGGAAGGAAGGAAGGAATGAATCCTGGCCACTCCTCACCACTCCTTCTCTGCCATCATCCTTCCAGTTCCAGAAGCCTCTGGCGTGTCTCCAACACAATCTCCTCCACCACTTCTGGTTTGAGAAGGTCTTTGATCTGCAAGAAAGGAGGAGAAATCCAGATAAATGTCTGAAGCCCCCTTGCTAACTTGAGTTCCTCCTGCACCACTCTGGGCACCCCGTCTGCAAATTGCCACGGCTGAAAAACTCGGCTTCCGAAGGCCGCCCCAAATACTGCCAAGGAGTTGGGCCTGAAGCCCAACCGTGTCTTGCATAATCTCGAGGACCCTTCAAACCCCGGGGAAGACCTGGTGCCCAAGTCCACCAGAGATGCCAAATGGAAAAGAGAGGCACTACCTGGTGAGAGAGAGAAGCTTCGTAGCAGTACAGGATGCTCGTGTCGTACAAGGTCATCTTCTGGGACACCAGAGCCATGATACAATTTCGGAGGCGGGAGATGACCTCACGGTCAGGCAGAGGCACCGGCTGGACAGACAGACACGCAACCTTAGCAGCTTCGGGCTTGGTCCCTATGCGTAGTCCTTGGCCTATGACCATTTATTTCGCAACTGTTCAAAGTTATGACGGTGCTGAAAAAGTCCAGCCCTTGCTCCTCCCTCCCTCCCTCCCTCCCTTTCCTTCCTTCCTTCTTTCTTTCCATCGCCTTTCTTTTCTTCCTTCCTTCCTTCCTTCCTTCCTTCCTTCCTTCCTCCCTCCCTCCCTTCTTCTATCTTCTTTCCTTCTTGCTTTCTTATCTATTTATCACACTTCCTAACCACTCATCAAAATCAGAGAAGAACTCTGGGCAGCGTACCATTTAATCAATTAAATTAATCATTTTTTAAAAAAACATAAAAACATTCTAAAATTGCAAAAGAGACTTCCAAGAGGGAGAGCTTAGCAGTGGTTAATGCAGGTGGGAGGGGGGGAATCTCACTGGGCCAACCAGCTCCAGGGTTGCGTGGGCCCTCCACGCAAGGCCCCCCCAGGCAGGTTTTGACCCCTTTGCAGAAGGCCAAGCGCTTGGGGGCTTTCCCCACGAGCCCCCCCAATGTTTTGAAATCTCTTCCGTCACGGTTTCCCCGAGCCTTCAACTCGCCTCCAGGTTCGCCACAAAGCCCCCAGCCTCGTCCTCTTTCTGCTCAGGGGTGGGGTAAATCCAGATGAAGCCGTTGTTGCCAAGAATGATGGAGGCCCCGCATGGCAAGTCGTGGAAGTGAGTTTTCTGACGCTTCACCAGGGACGGGGAGACCTGGACCAGGACCCCCTGGCCAAGCTGGAAAGAGAAAGGAGGCCAGGAGGAATAAAGGTGACGGTCAGCAGGTTGGAAAAAATACAGCATGGACCTCGTGGGGAACCTCAATCACAGCAAGAGGCAATGCTTTGCCTAAAAGCTTCGTGGAACTGAATAACTTTCTCCCCTCTCTTATGTCCAGATATGAAGTACAAGCCAATTCTGATAAAAAAAACACTTTATTCTGATATAAGAAAAAGAAAACCCAGCACACATTTCCAAAGCATCCTGTCACCTCATAAATATTCCATATTGTACGGAGAATCGCTGAAGAATAGAATTTGTTTTTGGGTGGTCTTGACCGCAGTTCTGCCAACTTCACAACTTCTGGAGGCAAGTTATTCCACTGATTAGAACAATTAACCAGTGGAACAACCCGCCTCCAGAAGTTGTGAATGCTCCAACACTGGAAGTTTTTAAGAGACTGGGACAACCATGTCTGAAATGGTATAGGGTTTCCTGCCTGAGCAGGGGGTTGGACTAGAAGACCTCCAAGGTCCCTTCCAACTTTAGTCATTCCTGTTCCCCATTACAGATAGAAGAGCGCTCTCAATGCGTTAAGAAAAATTAAAAGTAGCTCACCTTTCCATATTTGAGACTTCGAGTGTGCAACGAGACTGCCCCGTCAGAAAACACCGCTTGGACTTCGGCCTGCCAGGGGCATTTAAGGAAACAAAACCACGGTGGATTTCTCCTGCATTTCCACCCCGCCGATAAATACAAAAGGACCCGGAGTCAGGAATAAGAGGAATAAGAGTGTCTGAATTCACACTCCGTTATCTTGGGTTTTAGCAAGCTACACATACCCAGCTTGATGTTTTAACCCAAGTCAACCCTAGAAAGGTTCAGTAGTCAACATGGCAATCTGCAGGACGGATGGAACACAGATCCCATCATCCCCGGAGTATGGGCAATGGTGCTCCATCAGCAATGGGGTCCGAACAAGACAGCGCTAATTATTCTTAGATATTTTCTTTTAACTTCCCAAAAAGGATACGCTGACAAGGTCTCCTTCTTGGAGAAAATCTCTCATAGCTAGTTCATCCTCTGCAGATCGGCGTCTCTGGGGAATAAAAACAAATGGAATTGAATTATTTGGCCAAGTGTGATTAGACACACAAGGAAGTTGTCTGCAGTGCAGAAGCTCTCAGTGTACATGCAAAAAAGCAACAGAATGCAAGTATTCCTCAAACTTACGATTCATTTAATGACCATTTAACGGCACTGAAAAAAGTGACATGACTTTCACGTAACAAAAAAAAATAAATTGGGGGGACCAATTGTGTTCAGAAGTCAAGGACTACCTCTAATCAGAGTAAAAAATAAATCCCAAATAATCAGAGTTAAAAAAAAATATAAATCTACCCATTTCTCAATGAAAAGAACATTTCTAACGGTTTGAAGATACACTCACCAACTCTCCACCTGGAAGATTCATGGAAGACAGCAAAAGCACAGATTCTAATCTAGAATTGGTTTCCACCTTCCATCGTTTCTGCTGAACCTAACAAATTTTATAGATAGATATATATGTAAATAAACCCAAACTTCTTCAAAATGCTGTCCCGCCAATGAGCTGAAATAGAAAATATTTGGCAGGCCCTGGACATGTCCTAAACCACACCATTCCTTGGCAGACATCATTTTAGGAGTTTTAATCCTATATTTTACATTCCTAACTAATTGTTCTACACAGTGGACAAGCCAAAGCAATAGCAAATATTTTCAAGATGGCGCTTTCTAAAAAAAAAAAAAAATACAAGTTCAGAACTTCCATGGGGAAAAAAAATTACAGGATTCTTCCTGTTCTGCATATTTCTGGGAAGGGAGGAAGGAGCGCATGTTTAAATCAAAACGTTACCTCTGTAATTCTCCCAACCACGATGTCTCCAACTTCACCGTTGTACCTGCCAGGAAGATCAAAAAGAAATATTATTCGGATTCAGTAATCCCCCAGCTAAAGGTAGAACGTGCAACCTTAGGACGTAATAAACGTGCTCATCTTTAAAGATCCTGTGAGATTATGGGTTACTTTTCAATCGGAGGTCAGAACTACAACAGAAAGCTCAGATCCACGATAATCAAGCAGAAGCATCAAAGCCTTCTATTGAGAGTGATGAATTCTGATTTAAAGGCTTCGCTCCCGGGTTTCTCAACTCAGTAACTTTTGAGATGTCTGGATTTCAGCTCCCAGAATTCCCCAGCCAGCCTGTATCATACATCAATGTATCATACATCGCCATGCTGGCTGGGGAATTCTGGGAGTTGAAGTCCAATCCTCCACAGCGTTACGATTCCCAGGATCATATATATATCTCGAAGGCCAATTCTTTTCTCACCTGGCTTTTAATGCTTTGACACACACCAGTTTGTTCACCCTCTCGACAACTCCGGCCACGGACGCCACCAGCTGCTCATCCCCGAGGTAGGTTCCGTGGCCCCTGGCGAAGCAAAAGGAAAAGGAAGATTAAAAGGGGTGAGGAGGGAAATTGAGAAAAAATGAGAAATGGGGGGGGGGGAAACTACATTGTTTTGGAACAGACACCTTGACTGCAGGCAGTCCTCGACCTACAACAGCTCATTTAGTGACAACGGCATTGAAAAAAAGCGGCTTATGATTATTAAAGGAGGATATTTGTGGCTTCCATCCATGGAAGGGGGGGGGAGGGCACGTGCAGGCCACAGCTAGACCCAAGGGGGCTCCTGAGCACGTGCAAAGCGCAGCCTGGTCTCCATTGGAGCCTCCCCCCCCTCGTGCACCCGCCCTCACCGCATGTATCCCGGGTCCGTGGTGATGGTGTCCCCGGGGGCCACCAAATCCCGGTCTCCGCCGCTGCTGCGAAGCAGGTTGGACGTTAAACGTTTCCTCGCCCCGGGCAGCCTGAATTCCACCGCCGCCATCTTGGCTAACGGCGCGCCGGCCGCCATCACCGCGCAGGCGCAGACAGCCCGCGCAGCCTCTGCGACCGCCATGTCTATTCCTGGCAGGTCCTAGAGGAAGGGGGTTGGGAGCGCAGAAGAAACACTTCCGGCTTCCCTTCGCGGCGCATTCCTCTTTTGCAAAAGAAAAAAGAAAAAAAAGCCACTCTTCTCGCCATGGGCAGCTTGGATGGGGTCAGGGACACGCTGAACCCCCTCCTCCCCCAATCTAAGTCATCATCACCCTCTACAGGGATTTCCCGCGAATGCAAAGGCTGCGCTTTGCACTCCCCCGGCAGAGAGGGTTGTTGCAAAGAGAATAACAGAGGCGGAAGGGACCTTAGAGGTCTTCTAGTCCAACCCCCTGCTCAAACAGGAGACCCTATGCCATGTCAGACAAAAGGCTGTCCAAGCTGCAGGCGCCCGCCCCCTCCTCACTTTGCAATCAAGATCCATTAGACCACTCCCCCTTCCAATGCTTCCCCTCTTCTTTCGAAGCGCCCCTGAGCATGGGCAGAGCGCCGTTCCCGCGACAAGACTCGTCCCTTCCGCCAATTCGCTAGAGATGCCCTGCGTTGGCATAGATGCTTGGAAACCTAAGTTTCAATTCACTTTTCACTAGACTGTTCCTCTTGGGGTTCGCAAAGCCCCGCCGGGTTGAGAAGGCGGCTGCTGTTCGGCTCTGCGCCTATTTTAAAAATGGTGCTCTGTCGCCCTCTTGTGGCTGTTTAGAGGATATAACGGGAACTACCTTTTTAAATTAAAAAGCAAACACTAGTAGTATGTTTTATTTTCTCAGGTCAGGACTTTGCCCGTCAGAAAGGTTGCAAAAGGGGATCACGTGACCCGGGGAGACTGCAACCGTCATAAATATGAGTCAGTTGCCAAACATCTGAATTTTGATCACGTGACCATGGGGATACTAACCCTAATCCTAACCCCTGCTCTACATCAAACTACATTATGATGAACATGCTGGCTGGGGAATTCTGGGAATTGAAGTCCACTGGCTGAGGAATTCTGGGAGTTGAAATCTATGCATGCTATTGGGGAATTCTGGGAGTTAAAAGTCGCTAAGGTTGGGAAACGTTCAATAAATTGTAAAACTGATCTTGGAAGTGAGTGTGAGCTTTCCTTAAAAATCAAAGAAAAATCAGCCCAGGCTAGCAAACGGAATAACGAGGACTAGGAACTTGAAATCACCAGTTCCCTTATTCCCAGAACACAGCAGTGGTAAATTAACTGTCCTATAAAAAGCTTTTCATTCCACAATGTCATATTTTGTTCGTGTTTTATTATTATTCTTTATTTAGAATACAAGAGCATGAGAGATACAAAGATATATTTATATTTATATATATTTATGTATTTACAGCTGTGTACATCATACAATTATTATATAATTGATATTAAAATGTTGGGGGGGGGTTGTTTTGTTTTGTAAATAGGCGTTTTACATGATTTTATGTACAGGGTTAAAGTGACCGTTGTTTACTGTCCATTGACTATATGTATGACGATTCAAGAGAAGGAGAGATTTTCAGAAGCAGCCGGGGATCTTTGTGTTTCTTAAAAATGCATATTTTACAAAATGTCCACTCCTGATTCCCATTTAGGTCCGGTGACGGGAATCAGGTAAAGAAACCGTTTCTTCTATATGCCAAAGGTTGCAGTGAGCACCAAGCCTCTGCAGAACTTCGATTTGACAAGAGAGAGAAATTGCACAATTTTTTCCCCCTCTGGGGAGACCTAGAAAGCTGCAATCCCAATATACAAAGCTGAGTAAAATCCTTTCTTTGTTTTTATTTCAAGTCTTTTTTTTTCTCCTCCAAGTTTTAAACGTGAGTGGCAACGATTTTCTATCCACCAGACAAACTTACATCAGGCGGGAGGAGAGAGACAGAAAAATTTGTGCCGCAGGTGAAAATTATTTTTTAAAAGAGACCAGCTTATTAATTGATTTCCCCTCTGATCAATGCAGTACAACGTCTTGCCTGGGCTGCGAAGCTAAGCAGGGTTAAGCCTGGTGAGTAGTTGGAGGGGACTGGAAAAAAGCAAACGGATTTTATTTATTTGTTTAAAAATCCCTTTTGAACGGTGACCCAACAACGGAAGGAAATCTTCAGAGCAGGTCTTCGTGTTTTGGGGGAAATGGGAATACAACACCCCTGCCAACTAGGCTGATGTTATTTGCAGCTGGTCCTCGGCTTATGACGGGAATTGGGACAGGAATTTCCATCGCTAAGGGATGCGGTCGTTAAGCGAATTACACGTCGTTAAGCAAACGCGGCTTCCTGCATCGATTTTTCTTGTCAGAAGGCAGCTGGGAAGGTCGCAAATCACCATCGCATAACCCCGGGAGGCTGCGACCGTTGTAAATGTGAGCCAGTTGTGAAGCGCCTGGATTGTGACTACGTGACCGGGGGGGGACACAGCAATGTCATAAGTGTGAGGATGGCTCCTAAGTCGCTTTGTTCAGTGCTATTGTAACTTTGAATAGTCACTATATGAATGGTCATAAGTGTGAGGACTACCTGTGGTCCCGTGTTGCAGATGGGAGAAGGGAAAGACGCCACCTTGTGGCTGAAATGGGAAATTAGCAACGGAGGGAGAACTACAGGCTGCCTAAAATCCAGAATTTGCCCCCAAATTAATTGTTCCTTTCTGGGAAATGATCTCTAGTCCCAGGCAAGAAGCAAAAGCCCTAGACTGCAATCCTGTTGACTTAGGGATCTTTTCTTTCTTTCTTTCTTTCTTTCTTTCTTTCTTTCTTTCTTTCTTTCTTTCTTTCTTTCTTTCTTTCTTTCTTTCTTTCTTTTCTTTCTTTCTCACCTCTGGAAAGCCTGAGTGGAGAAACCACTGAGCACAATTTGCCATTCCTTCTTCCCCAGCCCTCTTTTGATGTCCCATCTCTACCACAACTTGCTTCCCCCCAACAGCTGCATCTCCCCAACTGGAGGGGGCCAGAAAACCTTCTTCCTTAGACCTCCCCCCACCCCAAAATGATCCAAATCCTTCCCTGCTGAATTAAAAAGTCTCCTCCAAAAAAAAAAAAACAAGGACCCTTCCCTCGTCTGGCTGCCCCACGAGAGAAGCAAAACCCCGGCTGGCGGGATCCACATCTTCCCCGGCTGTTCATTGGAGCAGAGCTCAGACGGCTGTACAGTAACCCAGGGTTGTGTGTCCGACAGGGGGCAGCCCGAGGCCCCTGGGGACCAGGCCAGGGGGCCACGGAGACCGTTCCCCCCACCGTGCAGCACCGGCTTTCCCTGGAGGAAGCCGCCCCCCCTGTGCCCTGGGAGAGTCCCCCCCCCCGGCCCTCACAGCACCATGGTGGGGATGTGGTGGCCCAGAGCCGTGGGATGGGGCACTGGCAGGGCGGGCGAGTGGGGCTGCAGGACTCCGTTGGGGGGACGGTGCCGGGCGCTTTTCTGGTGCGCCCGGAGGCCAGCCAGCTGCGAGTAGGCGCTCTGGCAGACCTGGCACTTGTAGGGCCGCTCTCCGGTGTGGAGCCGGACGTGGTTGCGCAGGGTGGAGGACTGGCTGAAGCGCCGGTTGCAGAAGCGGCAGATGAAAGGCTTGTCCAGCGTGTGGATGCGCATGTGAGAGCGCAGGTTGCTGCGGGAGTTGAAGCCCCGGTGGCAGATGACGCAGCGCATGCGGCCGATGGTGCTGACCCCGGCATCGGGCACGTGGAAGTCCTCTGTTGTGGGGGGGGGAGGAAGAAAGACAAACAAGGGGAGTAAGAGGGATCCTTCCACGGAGGGGTTTTCCGACAGCAATGCCATGAGAAGCCAAAGGAGATCGAGAGAACTTCAGGAATGGAGATGTTTATCCATCCCTCCCTCTCCATCCATGTCATTCATATCTATCTATCTATCTATCTATCTATCTATCTATCTATCTATCTATCTATCTATCTATCATCTATCTATCTATCTTATCTATCTATCTATCTATCATCTATCTATCTATCTATCTATCTATCTATCTATTATCTATCTATCTATCATCTATCTATCTATCTTATCTATCTATCTATCTATCATCTCTATCTATCTATCTATCTTATCTATCTATCTATCTTATCTATCTATCTATCTATCTATCTATCATCTCTATCTATCTTATCTATCTATCATCTCTATCTATCTTATCTATCTATCATTTCTATCTATCTATCTATCTATCTCTATCTAATCTATCATCTATCTATCTATCTATCTATCTATCTATCTATCTATCTATCTATCTTTCTATCTATCTATCTATCTATCTATCTATCTATCTATCTATCTATCTATCTATCTATCTATCTATCTTATCTATCCATCCATCCATCCATCCATCCTATCTATCGGTTTCATCTCTCTATCCATCCACGTCATTCATCTCTGCCTATCCATCCATGCCATCTAAAAAGATGGTGGAGAAGTTGGCAAAGGTGGAGGACCTGAGTTATCCCTGCAGTGCAACCATGAGTGCATCAGTCGTATCCGTGACTTTAATTTGCCTCTATTGCTAAAGCATGAAACGTGGTGGATGCAAGGGACATCCTCAGGGCTATTGGGGGGCTGAAGTCACGGCAGCTGTGACGTCCGGGGGGCTTGTCCTGGACACCCATGAAGGCGTCAAGCAAGGGGTCAATCCGGAGTCCTCCAGGCGTGAGCCAGAAAGATCCTGCCGACACCAAAGGGGTCTCCTCACCGTGTTTGCTCTTCTTCTGCTCCTCTTCAAGGCCCAGCACTCCAGGGATGCCCAAAAAAGTGTTGTGGGAGTTTCCATACCAGACCAGCAGTTCTTGATCTGGGGGGATCATCTGGAGGGAAAGAAGACAGAACAGGTGTGTGGTTGGTTCTCTTGTGATGTCATCACAGGTGATCTGAATTCAAAAACCTGGCAACTGGTTCATATTTACGACGGTCACAGCGTCCCGGGGTGTGTGTGTTCACCTGACCCCCTTTTATGACTTTCGGCCAAGCAAAGTCAATGGGGGAAGCCAGATTCAGTTAACAACCGTGTGACTCTCTTAACAACTGCAGTGGTTTCGCTTAACGAGTGTGGCAAGGAATGGGGTCAAAATTCACTTAAACGTTTCACTTAGCAAGATAAATGCTGGGCTCAATTGTGGCCGTATGCCGAGGACCGCCTGTGAACACCGTTTTGATGCTCTAAGGAAGCCAACCCAATGAAGCAGGATGAAGTCACAGCCAGCGTGGGGCTTCCTCCTTCCCGTTTAATCTTTTAATTATAATAATAGCTTTAAAAATTAGCCAAATGCAGCCAGGAGGCACCTGGAAAACTAGCCCCTGCCTTGATTCTCACTCAGCTCTTCGGAGGCGCCTACGGCTAAAAAATGAGGACTGCAAGGCCCAGCCAATTAATTAAATCAGTTTAATCAGTTTAATCAGCTCTAATGAACCGGTTCGCTGTAAGGCGGAAAGTATTTATTTCATGAGTTTAAAAACATCCAAAGAGCATCAAATGGGATTTAATTTTTCACGCCGTAGAGAAGTACTTTTGGTGCTGTTTTTTCCCCCCTTTTAATTGATTTTTAATGCAGGTGTTCACATGAACCGCGGGCAGCAAGCCGCGGTGTACATTTGTGAGGGTTTGTGTGTGAAATGACAGACGCCGCACCTTCTGATAGGTGTGAAATCCTTCCTGTGATTTTGCACCTATTAGAAGCAAATAGCTGTACTGTAATTGTCAGGAGTTAGATGGCAACGATTTCTTCCTTTCTTTCTTTAAAAAAAAAGAAAGAGGATTTGTACTGATGTCTTAAGGTCTTGACAGCTTCACCTGTTTGTCCCCTGTCATGTTTTCATGTTTGGTCTCTTTGACAGTGTCACCTCACTGTCATTATCTTTCTTTTTGTGGGTTGCCAGAGAAATAAGCCGCAAATTGCCACCAACAAGCATTTGAAATCGTCTAGAAAAGGAAGAAGAAGGAAAAAAAAGAGAGATACTTGGGGGGGGGGGGGTTTCTTCTGCAAAGACGTTCAAGTGGGATTCTTAACTGTTATTTTTCCCATTAAGAAGCCCAACCTAAGCCATAAAAGAAATGCAGCACCCCATAATAACAGTACTTAGTTCATGCGCGGCACGGAATCACATAGATTTGAGAATGCGCAAGGAGGCACCACAAACATCGCCCGCCTGTTAGCGGGCGCGTTGCTCTTTTGCGTGGCCTGGAATTTTAGCATTTTTCAAACTGCACAGCCATTAAGGTTGTTAAATCGATCAGCGGAGGCTGTAAAGTGCAGTTCTCAACAGCTAGCTTCACAACAAGCCAAGGGGAATTATGACACCCAGAGATCATTTTAAACTTAGTTCCTGTTTTTTTTTTTTAAAACGGCAGACTGTCACTTAGCAAGCGAACTTGGATGTGGCTCGCTTCTTCAACCCAAACTCAGCTAAACGCACATTTGTGACAGAGGGTGCCTTTTCTTTTGGTGCAGCCCAAGAGGCTGCTTTAAAAGTGATGACAGGGCTAAGAAATTTTTATTTTTTTAAAAAAGATTTCTTTTCTTTGGGAAAACCAAACGAAACTGGTTTCTGTAAATACACAGACCATACTTGAGATCAGAAGCAATGAGCAGAGCAGAAGATGCAAACTTGAAATAAGGAAGAATTTCCTGGCCTTGGATGAAGCCATGGCCGGCTCCCTCCTGGAACTGCGGGGTCCCCATCATCGAAGGATGTCAAGCAAAGGCTGAAACCAGCTATTGGTCTGATTTTGGATTGGTCTAGAAGACCCCAAAGTCCCGTATTCTATGTTTCTTTGATGATTCTATGAGTCTCTTCTCCATAGTTCCTGCTTGAAGGAGAAGGACCAACGAGCAGCGTAGAGGCTCTCTTGAGGGAGATACAACGTCAAAATAAGGAAGAATTTCCTGGCTGTGGCAACTAAGAAGCAGTGGTCCAGCCTATCTCCTGGAGATGTGAGGTCTCCCTCACTGGAGGGTTTCAAGCAAAGATTGGACAGGCATTTGTCTGGGATGGTCTGAGGGTTCTGGATTGGACTACTAGAACCTTCAAGGTCCCTTCCAACCCTATGGTTCTATGGCTCTGTGACTCTATGATTCTACGGTTCTATAAATCGATGAGTCTAGAGTTACATGATTCTATATTATTATGACACAATGATATTATAGTTCTATGAATCCATGTTCTACGATTCTATTTTACTGTCATACTACAGTTCTATGAATCTGTGGTTCCTGTCACTGTGATATTTTAGTTCTATGAATCTATGGTTCTGTGGTTCTATGAATGTATGAAAATAAGATGAAATAAAACAAAATACTGCCGGAGATCAGCTTGGTAAGATAATCATCTCCCCGCAGTCGGTAGCCAAGAACTTCTCTTCGTTTTGGCTTCCCTGTTTCATACCTCAATGGCTTTGTAAAAAATGCTGTTTCCAATCTGGACCACTTCCAAATTCTGTTCCTGTTCGTTCCGGGCGCATTTGATGTAGGTCATCCAACTGCGATGATCTTCCTGGCTCGCATCAATGAAGTATCGAACCGTCCCGTCTTCATTGAAGACCTGGGGTTAAAAAAAACCAATGATTAATCCTGTTTTTTGAAAAAAGAAATCTTCAATATCTAATCCTTTATTGACTAGCCATTAAACCACTGTATCTCTACCTTGGCAATTTAAGACAGGTGGACTTCAACTCCCAGAATTCCCTAGCCAGCCTGAGGAATTATGGGGAATAACGCAGAGTTTCTTCCCACTGGGGTCTTAAGTGATTCTTAAACTGTTTGACCTCATGGCTTCTTATCCCAGTTTCAAATAATGTCCTTACCCCCCTATAAAATAATCCTACACCCCATCATTTTACGCAAACAGCCCAAACTGGATGCAGGACTTACAAGTAAGCAATTACACACAGCTGCATCGTTCCCAGAATATGTCCAGATTTATCCCCAGTTTAAGAACGACTGTGTCATATTGTTATAAGGAGAATTAAATTATTGGACATGACTAGATGGTGTACAGTATAAGGTTGTGGAAAAACTGCAGAAAATAGATGGAAATATCTTTGCCTCCATCTCACGAAGACCACAGTGGGCCTTAAAAAAAAAACTCACAGGAGCTTCTAAGAGTCCATGCAAACACATCCTGATTAACCTGGTTAGGAACAGGCAAAAATCTTGGGCATTAAGCCTTTTTAATTTTCTTTGCTGTGTGAGCCACTCAGGGTATTTTCTTGTTTGGAAATCTCTCTCCTGTAGAAATTGAAAAACTTTCAGGGAGCAAAAAAGAAAGAAAGAAAAGCTTGCAAGGAGAAGTAAAGAAAAAGAAAAGTTGCAAAGAGGAAAAAAAAAGGAAGAAAACTCGCAAAGAGAAAAAAAAGGAAGAAAACTTGCAAAGAGGAAGAAAAGAAGAAGAAGAAAACTCGCAAAGGGAAATAAAGAAAGCAGAAAACTTTCAAAGGAAAGAAAAGGGTCTCAGGAGCACAAATGGGTTGGGAACGGAGCTGCTGCAGCGATGCTGATCCGCTGTCAGTGGTGGAGTATCCTAAGTGGGCTTTGCAAAAGGTTTTCTCGGGAGAACTCAAGAGCACGAGAGGGAAGGAATGTATTCAGTTTCACACTTTGCCAATCAAATGGGGAACATCCAGAAAATAGGCTTATTTTCCCATTCAAACCGCACACGGGAAGAAGGCCTCCGTTCTGGGGAACGGCACATTAGGATGCATTCAGGAAGAAATTGCTTTTTTTCTTTTTTTAAAAAAAAATGTTGCCTGCAAAAGGAGGCGCCTGTTAGGAAAAGCTTTGCAGAAAGCGTGCATGCCAAGAACTGCAAAAAACAACAACAACAACGTACAAATTTAAATGCATGTTATTTATAGGCCTGTGTCTCCCACCCAATAGATACGGAATGAACTGAAGTGCGAGGCGGGAGGAAAAAAGAAAAAAAAAACCTTGAGCTTAATAGGCAGATTCCTTTATTCCCAAGTTGAATAGCTGTCATTTGCCTTCATTTATGGAGTTTTGAATAAAGCAAATATTAGAAAGGCACCATTATGTGTCTAATGGCAGCTTAAAACACACATTCAGCTCCTTATTCTCAAGATAGGTAACAAAAACCAGCAACTTCATTCACAGAGCAGGCGAAGCTGGGCCGGTTTTAACCTTGGTTTCTTTTTAGCTGCGTAGCTTTCTGAATTCAGCCTCTTTTCCTAGCCTAAGGGCTCAGGACCTAGGATTAATATTTATTAATATCTAACATTGTTACTGATTTTACCTGTTTTCTGCAGGAGCACAGAATCACGAGCCACCATAAATTAACCAACATGATTATAAGCCGCCCAGAATTATTCTGTGGCAAGAGGGGCAGCCAATAAATTTTACAAACAAATAAACGGGCTGGATTCTGACAACCTCTCAAACATCAAATTAACCGAGTAAAAACTAACCAGGATTTAGAAGGTTGTGAGACTGGAGCCAGCCAACCCTCTCCTGAGCAGGACGAGTGTGAATGCAGGTAGTCCTTGATTTATGATCCCAACAGAGCCCAAACTTTCTTTCGCTAATCAATATGGTTGCTAAATGGGTCGTGTCCATTTTACAACCTCTTTTGCCACGGTTGTTAAGTGAATCCCTGCAGTTGTTAAGTGAGTAACACGGTTGTTAACTGAATCTACCTTCCCCATTGACTTTGCTGGTCAGAAGATCGCAAAAGGGGATCACGTGACTTGGGGACAATGCAACAGGCGTAAGTACACGCCAGTTGCCAAGCCTCTGAATGTTGATCACGTGATCAGAGAGATGCAGCAATGGTCCTAAGTGCGAAAAACAGTCCTAATTCGCTTTTTTTTCAGCGCTGTCGTAACTCTGAACGGTCACTAAACAGATTAAGTCGAGGACTACGGATCAATCGAGGGGTGTCGCCCAACCCATGAGCCCGCCTTTACCTCCCACATGAGGCTGTTGTTCTTGCAGAGGTCCACGTGTTCAGGAGAGATAATCCGGCCTGTAAAGGGTCCCATCTCGGTGCCGGCCTTGATCCAGGTTTTGGAGAAGATGCCCAGTCCCTCCCCGGGGATGGAGCTCTGGGCGATGATGACCTCCGAGGGCAGGACGAGGCTGGAGAGCTTCTGGACTTCTGCACAGGAGAGAATCAGCAAGGGAGGGAGAGATTAACCACATCAGAATAACAGAGGGTATCCTTGGAGGTCTTCTAGTCCAACCCCCTGCTCAACCCCCATCCCATCCTGGACAAATGGCTGTCCAGTCTCTGCTTGAAAATCTCTAGCGATGGAGTACCCATGACTTCTTAGAACATAGAATCATAAGATTGGAAGGGACCCTGGAGGTCTTCTAGCCCATCCAACCCTGCCAAAGCAGGGGACCCTACGCCATTTCAAACAGAGGACTGTCCAGTCTCTTCTTAAAAGCCTCCATTGGAGGGAAGCCCTTCCACTGGCTTATTGTTCTTGCTCTCAGTTCGATCCTGACCGGCTCAAGGTTGACTCAGCCTTCCGTCCTTCCGAGGTCGGTAAAAGAAGGACCCAGATTTTTGGGGGCAACAGGCTGAACCCCTGAGAGAGAGCTGCAAAGCAAGGTGAAGCTAAGTCTAAGTCCTATTGCTACCTGATTAGTTTAATCTCCTCCCAAAGCAGAGAAAACCTGTACAAATATCACCCAGGGATGGAAAGCCGCTCAGAATCGGAATAACAGAGTTGGAAGGGACCTTGTAGGTCATCTAGTCCAACCCCTCGCTCTCCAAGCAGGAGACCCTAAGATCAGCCTGGGACAGAAATGAAACGAATAAGATACAAGAGCCTTATTTTGGAAATTCATTTAATATGAATTTGCACAAGCCATCTAAAAAGCCCAAAGCATCTTTTTTGTCTCCTGTTTTACAAAAATGAGAAAACACAACAGGAACCACACAACGCTCATGGAAACACAACACTCACAAAAGTGCAATTAACGCCACAGAAATGCTCCCTTCATCTGGATTAACCGCCACACTTTGCCTTGGTTTCTTCAACCAGGATTTGCCACCATCACCTAGATTTGCCCACCATACAAAGCTGGACTGGCTTGGCCCCTGCATTAATGAAGGAATCCCAGTTTGCACTCTGACCTACAGTCTAAACCATCATCTCCAAATTGTGTGGCCCCCCAGGAGGCTACGCTGAAGCGGAACAAGCCACAACCTCATTGGCACCCACCGATGAAAACCCGGTTGCTAAATTGCTCAGGGCAGCATTTTAAGTGATGCACGCAAGTCCTCTGACAATAAGAAAATATATTTGATTTAGACAAATTAATCCTCCATCAAAACTGGCTGCAAAAAAAATTGGGGAAAAATATTAGGCAAGGAATAAGCTGCTTGGCAATGTGGCACAAACTGGGAAATGCAATTGGGTTGGTTTTTAGATTTAGGGATTCCTTAAAAAAAAACACCTCTTCCAAATGCAGACAGCTTGTGCATCCAGGAGAGTTGTGTTAATGAGCCACACAAAGAGGTCCAGTCTTTCTCACTGGTCAAGAGAGATAGGTCAGTGTGAATTTGCCAATAAAGCCTCTATCAGGTGTTCTCATACAGTTTGGTTAAACTGTAGATGTGAACAACTTGGGTCAATCAATCAATCAATCAATCAATCACCAACCCTTTTTACAGTTCTATTTTCCTATAGAAAATTCAAGGTCATGCCCCTTGTAATGTCCACTAAGCTCATTTAGAGATTGTCTAGTGTAGAAAGGAGAAAAAACTAGCTGTCCGTCAGCTGATTGAAACATCCACAGGTATTCTCGGATCAATCATGTTCTGCAGTTCCACAGATATTGTCAAGGACATACGCACAATCCAGAGTTTGTATTTCCTAGGTTCTATATTACATGCCCAGGTCCTTTTTGATATGATTAATCCACTCCTTGTTGATGTAAGAACATAGATAAGAGAATCCCCTAGCATTATGTACAACGTAAAAATGGGCATGTCACAAACTTGGGTAGCCTCTATGTTGCTAACACACCCATGTTCAATTAGTTCCACCTTCCTTTAAATGCTAACAGAGTTAAGATGGGAACCAGACAAATATTTGCAAACATGAGAAAGAGCAAGACACGTTAAAGATACTCTTAACAAGAACTGGAGCTGAGCACAATCAGAGGTGGCATGGAGATAATATGGAGAAATTTAGCACCCCAGCCTCTTAGAAGTCAGATGCAGAAAGCTATTGAGGTAATCAGGTGCGGTTAGACGCTTGGAATTGAAAACCGATTTCATGGCACATTTTTATTAATTAGGGCTGGTGGCGCAGTCAGCCAGATGTTCAGACCGGATCTGGCATTTTTGTCCATCTACCGAGTGCTTCCCGAGCACCTGGGATAGGCAGATGTGGATGTTTGATGGGGTTACAAATGTTGTCGCAGGATGGAAGCCGTTGCTGATCAAGCCGCCTTTTGCAATTGACCGATGGTGAACTTGTCAATGCCGATGGGGTTCAAGAGGTGCTCCAGATGTTTTGGAATTGCACCCAAGGTGCCTAAGACTATTGGTACTTTATTATCAAATTTATTTGCCGCCCATCTCACAGTTCGGGGCAATTCTGAGTGACATAATCAATCAATCAATTCCATTCAATCGATCAAAAAATTAATTTCCAAGCCATCCATCAGCCATTATCTCCTCTAAAACTAGGATCGCACATAGAAACATACACATCCACACACTGTCTTTCTCACAACTGCAAACTGCAAACACACCCCGCCATTATCAACATTAATTTAATTTATTCCTTCGCCCAAAGACCGAAGTATTTGTTTCTAAAATGTTCACCTCTGATTTTCGGGTATCTGGAACACCAGACTCAAGGTGCTAGTCCATTTTATGCCTCTGTTGGAAGCAAATTACTGGGGTACATCAAGACTTGCTTGGATCTAAAAGGACCCTTCTCTTTTTAAAACCATCCTGAAAAATATACTTATATACAGCGTAAACAAGTATAAATCTCAAGGATAGGCTGAATATCTTTTCTATTGTGGCAGACTCGTTGCTAAAATTATTACCCACCCCACAGCTTCCTCTTTTGCAAATGGCACATGATTTGAGGTGTGTTGCACGTCTGTGGGGTAAATAAGGGCGCAATGCACAATATAGAACACACTTGTTATGAAGTTATGGCCAGGGTCGCACACCCAGCCCGAAATGGCACACTCAGGCAGATTTGCTGTGGCTGAGATCTGAGAAAGAGAGCGGTCAAATGGATGAAATTTGCACAAGGGACCTCATTTTTTGAGATGCATGGAGTGTCAATCATCAGATGTCAAATTTGAGACCTCCTCATTGCCTCTAAGGGGTCTTTTCTCCAAAGGCATCCATCCAACTCAAAAAAAAAAAAAGGATTTTAAATCAGTGTTCAACTTTTCTTTTTTATTTTTGCGCACACCTCCACTGTCTCCACTGCTGGCCCTTTTTACCTCTCCGTGGGCTTTCTAAGAGGGATCTCTCCCCCCCCTTGCTGAAAATCCCCACCCACCCTGTATTTGAAGCCCCAGACAGCGCCCAACTCCGTGCGCCAACTTTGTGCGCCCTCTGCAAGATTGTAACCTGTGGCATCCTTAGATTAATTTTTTTCTCAACGATCTCCCCAGCTCCCCACGGACCCCTGAGCTCCACGCCGCTTCATTTTGCACCTCTGGTCCCTGAGAAAAGTGGAACAAGGACCAGGCTTTAAAAATAACACAACTGCAACAAGGCTACCGGTATTGTAAGATGGCCCGAGAAAGAACTTGAGAGAGAGGGAGGGGAGGGAAAAAAAAAATCTTTAAGAAGCGAAAGAGTGTGAGGTTAAATGGTGCCAGGGCATTGCATAAAGCAATTTGTCACGCTGTTTAAAGTGATCCTCATTCATTCAGGGCCCTTAGAAGGAAAATGGCTAATTCTAAATTCATTAGCCTTTAGAGAATGCTGTCGGCCAACACTGGGGAGAACTGAATGGCCTAAGAAACTTGTTTTAAAAGGCGCAGGAATTTCTGGCGACAAAATGGGAGAGATTAGCAGGCTGACATCTTTTGAAAGGACACAGAATGGAGCTTTCACGGTAGATTAAGAAAGGAACAGTAATCTTTTTGGGGTGGTGCAGGGGGGGGGAGAGAAAGACCAGGGAATCCCAAATGCCAAAGGCAGGGAAAGGAAGGGAATTGCTCTCCCTGAGTTTGATGAATGAAGAGTAAGGACTTGAGACACCTTAGAGAAAAGAAAATGGTCCCAACAACTTTTAAAGTTCTCAGTTTAAGTGGGAACAGGGCCCCCCCCCACCCCTTTAAGGTCAGGCCCAAGTTAACTAAATGAATTTAAAATCTTTTTTTTTATCAGTCAACTGCTATTACACGCCTAATAAGCCTTTAAATGCCTGGGGCTTTTTCTTTTTTTTTTTTTAAATGAAGCCAGGAAGAGACTGGAAGAGAAAACTTGAGTGGGAAAAAGCCATAAAAAGGAGGATTATTATGAGGATCCTGATTTTTTATTTTTTTTTAAGCCTTTGGAGAAAAGCACCTCGAAATCTGAGCTAATCAGATTTTGAAGGGTGGGGAAAAAGAGATCTTGAAGGGTGGGAAAAAAGAGAGAAAAAGTTTTGGTTCTATGTTTAAAATAATCCGGAGAGGGTGAAACTTCAGCCATTAAGTGGAAGCTAAAGAATGAAGCTTTTTGGGATGTTCAGGAGAGGTGGGCGAAGGGATTTATGATTCTTTTTTTAAAATATTTTCGCTGGCAGGATTTTGTAGATCAGAAGGAGTTGCTCCGGATTGGATCGAGAGGGTGAGAGAGAGAGAGAGAGAGAAAAAAGAAAAGGCAGGATTCACACTAGAATGGGTTCCAATGGATTGTTCGGGGTCAAGCGGTTGTCTGAACTAGGCTTTTATGTAAACTAAACTATGATGTAGTTGATGGAGCATTGCACAGTCTGTGTTTAAGATGGTTGGGGGGGGAGGGATTCAGGATTTCAAGGTTGTGTGAACTCAGTTTCATAGTCCCAACACAGGGGCTGGTGTGGCTTGGGGAAGGTGGTGGCAACTTTAATTTTAGATTTTAATTTAATTTTTTTAATTCGTGTCTTCTTTTAAACTTTGCATACACAAAAGAGGACATGGCTTGGGGCAAATCCTGGACCTCCAAAACACCTAGATGCATCCACGGCACCCATACTAGGAACAAGACACACACGTGTAGAGAAACCAACAAATACAGACAACTCCAGACGGGGATGCACTTTCAGACCCAGGTCTGTAGTAAAAATCGGAGTAGCTGGGTGTCGAAGAAGCTCCTACAAAGGAGAAACTGCGCGGCTTGGCTTCTTGGGTCAAAAGACCCCCTAGCCGGGGTCTTTCTCACGACGTCGGGCTTCGGAGGGTCCAACCTGCGCAAAGCGCGCACACGTGTCCGACCCGGGTCCTAGCACTCTCCGTGGCGTTTCCTCTCCAAAGCCAGAGAAGGAGAGAGCCACGGGCTTCCAGAATCCTGCAGCTCTCCTGTACACGTGTCAGCCTCCTCCCCACCCCGTTCCTGGGAAGAAGCAGAGCATTCACACGTGCAAATCGTTCTCTCCTAGCGCCTCGGCTCCCCCCCCCCGAAAAAAAAACCCCACCAGAGGTTGGAAAAGAGAGGAAAAACTCACCCCCGGAGAAGGACTGAGCCAGGACCTCCGCCGTGAAGGCCGTTTTGGGGTTCCCGTGGCCGCTGCTAAGGCCACCCCCGGCCGCCGCCGCCGCCGCCCCGCCGCCCCCGGCGCCCTTCTCCTCCAGCAGCTGCTCCCCCAGGACGTTCCTCCAGCGGCCGTAGAGGAAGCTGTGCAGGATATCCGACGTGATCACCTCGGCCAGGGAGAGGCTGGGCGGCTTCAGCGCCCCTTTCAGCACCAGCGCCTCGGCCGGCAGCACCGAGCCCATCATGCGGGAGGCCGGCGGGAGCGGCGAGGGTCGCGCGAAGGGGCAGCCCCACACCTTGGGGCTCGGAGAGCTGGAGGGAGGGAGGCGCGGCCCCCCAGCCGATTGCCAGCTCCTGGCCGAATGGCAAAGTCAGGGACGCAACGGCGGGGTTGGTATATATGGGCCTGGGTGACCTTTCTAATTGCTTATTAATGAACCCCCCCTCCCCACCCCTGACGTCGAGAGAGAGAGAGAGAGAGAGAGAGAGAGAGAGAGAGAGAGAGAGAGAGAGACCCGGTTTTTTTCCAGATTGAAGTCCAGAGAGAGAGAGAGAGAGAGAGAGAGAGGGAAGAAGCGGGAGGTGCCCCCTCCCTTTGGTAGAAAGGGGTGGGGGCTCGGCTAGGAGAGAGAGAGAGAGGCGGGAGGAGGCGAGGCTCCGCCGGCCTGAGCCCACCCACCCAATGCGGGAGCCTGGGCTACCCCCAAAGACACCTGCTCTTCCAAGGTTCTTCGCAGACCAGAGGAAATAAAGGGGAGGGGGCGGTCAACCCACCAGGCGGAAGAGAAGCTGGGCGAGGAGGCAGCTTCGCCCAGAGGAGCGGACCCAACGCCCAGCCGCTCACCTCCGCGGGGCAGCCAAGGCGCGCCTTTTGGTTCTTCTTCCTAAGTCTCTTTTTTTTTTGGTGGGGGGGGGGAGATTTCTTTTAGCCTTCAAAGGAACCGGGGTGCCCCATTTGTCCCTCGGGGTTCCCCCACCCTCGTCTGAGTTTTAGGGGGCGCAAAGTCTAGCCGAGACGAGGTAGCTCCCGCGGAGCTGTCGGGCTAGCCAAGGGCGCGCCGGCTAGAAACGCCCCGCCGTGAAATTGACGAGAAAGGAGGACGGAAATTGACCAGCCTTTGGGAAACCGTATTCGAAATTTTAACCTGGAAGGCAGGAGGCAAAAGTCTCCGGCTTAGTCCCAGCCATCCCAGTTCAAGTCGGCGGCTTCTGCCGCCACGCAACCCGCGCGCAACCGAAGCTTCCCCCTGTCCGATCCTCAACACCTACACGCGGGCGCGCAGCGGGCTTGGGAGACTCCAACAGGTCCGATTCCCGGGTCCTCCCAAAAGTTTTGTTCTGAGTCGGAGGAAGATTTAAGGCGAATTGAAAAACAGCTTTCAGAGCGGGAGGGGGGGGGGAAACGGACGGACGACGGGTGTCCGATTTGATTTATCTTTTGCAATATTCATTCGGGTGCGTCCCCCCCCCTCCCTCTGCGCCCCTTGCTTTGCCAAGAAGGAACAGGTCGTGCGTTTTCCAGGGGCGCGTCTCTTTCTCCGGGAGAGGAGAGGCGGGGTCCCCACCCCGCCCGAAAGAGCAAACTCAGACCCCCCCCTCTCCACCTTGTGCAAAAAAAGAGGGGGGCAACTCAAGGAAACCAGCGCCGGACAAGACGGGGGGGGGGGCCGCTGGCGGGTCTGCGGGCGCGCGCAAAAGACGCGGGGCGCGCCCGGGAAAGAAAAAAAAAGAGACGCGTTTCTCCGGGAAGCGCTCTAGAAGCGACCCAGCGCGCCCCTCTTCAGAGCAGCCTCTGCCGAAGGATTGTGAGTTCGCAAAAGCGCCTTTCAACTCGGAATCTTGGATTGAGAGGGAACCCCCCCCGCCCGCCCCCAAATTTACAGGGCTGGAAATGATAAGGGCAATTGAGGAGAGGGAGAGGTGGTGGTGGGGGAAAACGAACCCCCCCCCCTGGAATTTAAAAAAAAAATAAAATAAAATCAAATTAAATTCACCTTTGGCGCTTTGTGCCTCTTCTGATAACGAGAAGCAAAGATTAGACACAGAAGAGTAAACGGAAAATAAGTTTAGATTTCATAAAAGGATATGGAGTCTTCCCACCCCCCCTCTTTCTCGACACGCACAGCCTGCTCAGTTCGGGGACAGCCACAACTGCAGGAACGGTTCTTGACTTTGGGGGATGGAAGTCCTTTAATTCCGGGCAAAATAATAGCAAAAAAAAAAAGCCTTCAATTGTTCAATCCCAGTACAAAACGGGGGGCAGAAGTAGAGGCGAACTGCAGCGATTTTATTCTTATTATCTATATATTTCTCCCTTTGAAAGCTTAGAACACTTGCCGCCCACCGCCATGATTTAAATCTTTCTGAGGAGGTGGGCGTCTTACCTGCCAGACCCGTTTGGCATCCAGAGAGCTTTTATTCAGAAGGGAGAAAAGGGAAAGAAAATAAACAACAAACGTCGGGAAAGGTGGATTTAAAATTCCAAAGAGTTTCCCGCTGTGCGTAAAGACAGCCCGGCGAAAGAATAAAAGAAGAGTTGATTTTCAAAAGCAACCCCCCCCCAAAAAATGGACAACAGGCTGATAGGCGGACTCAGAAATGACCCCCCCCCCCTAAATTGAACGCGGCTCGTTCCGGAGGAAAACCTACTTGGCAACCCCATCACCATCCCAGGTTTAAACTAGAGATGGGTCTAATCCAGTTTGCCTAAACACAAACTAGGAAAAACTAATTCCAGCGCTGAAACAAAAAAAAACTATGCTAGGTCCAAAATGTAAAGTTCTCTGGAACAGAGTCGGTCTCGGACTAACTGGGTTAATAACCCCGTTGTATCGAAGCTTAAAAGGTCCTGCTTTTCGGCAGCTCTGGATCCGATCTTTAAACGGGCTGGCGAGGAAGGGATGTTACGAGAACAATGCAAACTAAATTCGGAATTGGAAGTTCATGCCCAAAAAACACAACGACACACGAGCACACACACACACACACACACACACACACACACACACACACACACCAACGCGAATTGGATTAAACGCAAGCCCCTATAGTGAAAGTTAATTTTCGGAGGTTGCCAACCGATGAGGGATAAAACGGGGCGCGCGCACAAATGGGGTGTCCTAATGCCGGGTTGGGAAGTGGCTCCGTCGGCGCGACCCCAATTCCCTCTTGAATGCACCCCTTCAGTCAACGGGGCGACCCTCCTCCCTTTCGTTGCCCCGGATTTGACAACGCCACCTCCGTTGCGGCGGCTGGACCCAATTGAGGCGAAGCTGAGAGAGGAGACCGAAAAAGATTCTCGAAGAGAGAAAAAAAATGAATACTTTTTAAACACATTTTCTCCGTTTCTTGGGCCAGGGGAGAGGGGGAGCCGCCCCGCAGTGAAAGCCGCAAAAGACCCCTTTGCCTCTCGAGGTCCTGCGACTAATGCGGGGTTCACACGTTTTCGGGGGAACCCGCGAACGCTTCGTTTCGCTTTGGTGAAAATAAATGGGTGGGTTTTGGGGACCTGAGCCGACGCGCGTAAGAATAGGCTACAAGAAGTGAGCCGAGAGCCCAGCAACCCGGGTTCCCGCTTAGGCATTCTTTCACACGAGCTAGGACAGCAAAGGTAGCTTCGCCCAGTTTCGACGCGGCTAAATGCGCCTTTGCCTTGGCGTCTTTTCCCCTATACATCGGGTGGTTTGGGGGGGCGACTAAGAGCGCCCCTGCCAATCAAGATTTCCAAGTTTCATCGAGTTCACACGTTACGCTAATATAAATATACCCCAGACGTCTGATCTCGTCTCTCTCTCTCTCTCTCTCTCTCTCTCTCTCTCGTAATTAATTGGCTTCAAACTGATATTCGATTTATATTTCCTAAATTCTTGTTTATCGGGTGGCTGGGGTGGCTGGCTAGGACTTTTCTTAGTCCGACCAGAACCGCCTGTGAAAAAAAGACGCTTCTGTGGCTATAGATTGCCCAGAAAATCGGGGTGTTACATTTCCAGCCAAAACTAATAATTCGCCTTTGCGCTTTCCGGAATCGAGCGTGCGTAAAGACGGGACTGCCAGCCACGGGGAAATTTATCCCGAGCCAGGACTGGGTCCGTTTCAAGGCAAACCTTTCCGCGATGGAGGGAAAGAAAGGCGGCGGGACTAAAGGATAGGGCGCCATCCATTCACTCGCAAATAAACTGATTCCGGAGGTGCCTCGGGATCCCGAAGACCTCCGCAGCCAAAGTAAGACTAGATCGAAGAAAAAAATAGCAGGAAACCCGCCCTTTGGTTCCCAGTATTCGGTATTCAGGGATAGACTGCCTTGAGACGTGGAGGTTCTATCTGACCAGTAGGTGAAGTGTTGCCCGCGAAATCTGGGCCTCCCCTTCCCCAGCCCTCCAGCCTTTTGCAAGCACCAGCATGCTATGATTTCTTCCACCCCAAATCTATCCGACCGGGGTCTCCATCTCAAGGACTCTGGGCATTTTAAAACAAGGTTTTCTTCTCTTTTTAAAAGAAAGAAAAGAAATAGAAGGATGAAGGATTTGAAAAGCAAGCGTGCAGCCTAGAAAAGAAAGGAAAAAAAGGGGGGGGGACCCAGGGGCCGGCCAATCTACCAAAGGTGGTCAAGAACCAGCTGACTGTAGAGCTAGAACTGGGAAGGTACCCTCAAAGACCATCTAGCCTGTCTCCAAAGTGCCAGGGAATGAATTAAACCAGTCCTGAGCTGTCAGTCTTTTCTGGAAACCTCCAGAATTCTAGAATACACTAAGAGAAGAAACTTTGGTTTTCTTCAGAGATAATAAACCTGAGAACTATTAACCAGTGGAACTCCTTGCCTCCAGAAGTTGTGGGTGCTCCATCACTGGAGGTTTTCAAGAAGAAACTGGACGGCCAGTTGTCCGGAATGGTGTAAGGTCTCCTGCTTGAGAAGAGGGCTGGACTAGAAGACCTCCAAGGTCCCTCTGTTATTCTGCATTCTATTCCATTCTGGATTCGCACAATCTACTGATCATCAACTAACCAAACAGGTTGGGTTCTGACAACAGGGATCTGAATTCCTGTCTTTAGCCTTCTGAGATTTTTCTGGCACTGCCTCATCCGACCTGGGGGAAGCCCACCTGCCAGGCCCTAGTAGTTGAACCAAGCAGGGTGGAGAGTTGTGTGGGAAACTGGACCATCAAGGAAGATAGAGGCAAAAGAGGGAAGCACTCTACGTAAATAAAAAACTTATTTTCCCAGACTCCTCCTTCCTCTTTTCTTTCCT